TGGGCGAGTTTGGTGACAGGTATTTTGGCACAGACAATGACTAAACGTTAGACTGGTGGCCCGCCCCTCTATCTCTCAATCGCGTGAGAGATGTAACCTTTTCTATATCAACCCCAATCATATTTTCTGAGGATCATTAAGAAGAAAAGGAGTCAATTGAGCATGAATAACCAATAATGTATTAAGGCTCTGGACATTATGAGATTGTATTTGACTACAGTTGCATTAGAAATGCGATTTTCTAACTTTTTTGTACATTTGAGTAACACGAGTTTCCTTTAGGAGTTGTAAGAAATGCATTAAAATGGGTTTGATATGAATTACTACAGTATCCGGACAATATGGTATTTACTTCTTAAATCTTGAATTCCCTAAGCAAAATTCCTGATTTCATTGGTGTAACTAATGTTTAACTTATCAAACTATTGACAATTCGAGATCTATCCAGACAATGTGGAAGTTTCGACCTGGTAGTTTTTGTGGCTCATTACGAAAAGATAATGATTTTAATAACAAATCTCTCAAGATATTTTTATTTTTACAAGTAAAAGATATGAAAATAAAACACTACAGGACCATTTAGTTATTATATTCAAATTTCTTTTCCTTTTCTGAGCAAAAATGAGGATAGGCCAACTCCTTGAACAATCGATTCATCACAACTGAAAAGGAGAAAGAAAAAGATAAACTATGCAACGCATTTGAGAAAGAAGAGTATCTAATTGAAGGTGTGTACAATTATGTAACAGTAATTATATTCACGGAATACCAATTACCTCCCACCAGCACATGTATTGGATAATTTTACCCACCAATGTTTGGATAGGTGGGAAAAAATTACTTACCATTTTTACCTCATGATTCTCAACCGACTTCATTGACCACTAAGCCACACCCTTGAGTGTTAAGTATAAAATCTAATTATGCCGACTGAATCACAGATAAACTTGGAAATAAGCTAATTTATTAGCATGCATTAGGTTTAATATAACGTTCAACCAACCACAGAACCTAACAAATCACTTTGAATTCCATTCCCTGCCAAATTCATCATAGCATGGCAATCCAAGCAGGAAAAGCAAGGTTTAAAAACAAATTTGAATGCAATAGTAAGCAGTCATTGCTAAAATCCAAAAAATGTTGTGAGTACATAAATTAAGCCACAGATCTTAATTCTATGACAGATAAGAGATGATCAACCCCCAAATAGATATCCGGCGGCTTGTTCTTCGTTACCATCGAAAAACTTCAGAGCCTGTATTACTGCATCCCTTCCAAACCCTAATTCAACAAGCTTTGCAACTTTGGCTTCAAATTCAGCTCCCTGCAGATAAATAGCACAAAGACCATAAAAGATTTGATCTACTTAACAATCACTATATTTATTCAAAAGAACAACAAATATATGCAGGCTGCCAAGGAGCAGGTTAATCTCTAATTTACCTGTGTCGAGTTCCCAGGGGCGCTTCCTGTGGACCAAGACAAGGTTGAACTATAAGTAAATGAAATTCAGAAGAGAGAAATGAAAATAGCTGTGGAAACAACCAAAAGTAAAATAGAAAGAAATTTCATGTCATTTTGTTGACTCTTCCTAGATCATGTTAAGCAAATTATTGTAAGGAATCTGAATCCTTGGGTGCGCAGGACAGTCCACATCACAGAGAAAGTTGAAATGGAATTCACAAGTATTATTCGGAAATTGAAGCTAACCAGAAGAACCTCCTTTTGTAGGATCAGTCTTCTCCTTTGCTCCGGATGCTGCCTGTACAGCAATAAAAAGAACCAAGTTTAGCACTGCTGCCTTGTCAAAAAAAAAACTCAAGTAAACAGTACAGCTGCTAGAAGGTCAAAATTTCTGAAATGAATATGTAGAGAAAAACGGTACTATAACAGATTATGAAAGGGCTGCACGACCTTAAAGATTTAAAAATTGTAGGATAACATATTGCACAATCTTTAGAGCAAACGAGCTCTAGCAACCCCAGGAAAACAAGAAACTTCCATCAAGAATGTCATAATTGTAAAAAGAAAGAGGCCAATCCTAGGCAAGCATTTCATCATTGATCTCATTAATTCAGCATCAACTTTATCTTGGTGGAGAATGCATATCACCACAACTGTACTCAAATTTGTACAATGTTAGCTCTTGACCTATTTTGAAGCTGAAATACATCAGATTTGTTGTTCATTTAATGCTCCAATTAAACTATAGGCCGCAACAAGTAAAGCCCTACTCTCGTCCCACATACTCACTTTCAGAGAACGAAAAAGGAAAGATAATAATGTTGAGTCTGGAAAAAATCATTATATATAAAAAATGCCTTTACCTGCGCTCCTGAGCTTGAAGCCTCCTTGGCGAATCTCTCCTCATCAAGAAAATGACCAGGAATGTCCTTCTCTGAAATTTGATGTACACAAACTTAGTAAAAGCTCAAAAGGTAGTACCATCCAGTACAAAAGTAACCAGGAGGCATCACCAACCATGTAGAAATGGTACAGCAACCTCCCC